GCGTCGTTAATATCGCTTATCAGTTTGAGCCCGATTGAGAAGCAGAGGATATTATTGAAGAGGATCGAGTGCAAGCAGTGCAAGCACGGCTTTTAATGGTAGGCCTATGTTTTTTGTTGTCTCATACTATTAGATACTGTAAATGCTGTAAATGCTACTGCTTATGTTAGCTTTTAATATACGGTTTTATCCTGATTAAAGCTGCAGAGCAGGGGAACGCGAGGAACACTATTAAGCTGCCGCTGCTTTAGAACATTGTTTTTGAAACTTGTGAATCCATTAGAATCGTTAGAAGACAGAATCGCGATTCATATATGAATAGATTTTTACGTGCACCTCTAGTTTTCTCTTCCTCTTCTCTAAAGCAGCGCAGCATGGCCCCGCCCCCTTTGCTGCCTTTTCCCGAGGGCGGGGTTTATCTGGGTTTGTGATGTCACAAACCCGGGAAGTAACTCGTTGTAGTCCCTACCAGCCGTTTTTGTAGGCATCAAACTGCCAGAATTTTAAAAGATATCTCCGTTTGCATTGAACATTCAGCTTCGTAACTTTGCAGATATTGTTTATGCTCAAACAGCAATATTACACACTAACGTTAAAAAAGTGAAATCGCAATCAACCACCCCTTTAAAAAATACCCTGATATTTCTAAGTTTGAATCACCATGTATTTCATTTTGTATTGTTAACATTCCATTTGCACCATTATTATTTCATGTTAAATAACTTACTTTTGCACTACAAACTTTTGAATGTTGCCAAATACTTTAGCAATCCCAATAAACAATTTTTGTCAAGCCAAGCCAATAAACTACATTGACCTGAAAGTGAAATATTAAAGAGAGAGAGAGAGAGAGAGAGAGAGAGAGAGAGAATAAGTCAGCATCATTCTACTGGCGGGTCAGTATTTGGGTAAAGTCTTTCTGGGCTGATTTTCACTCCTCGTGTCTGGATTACTGATATCAAGAATGAGGAGTGCTTGTTTCTGTGAACACACAAGTCAGTTTATGTTCTGATCACGTCCTCACCTGAACCCAAAAATACAGAGTTCCGTAGAACGAAAGCTTAAATCTGCTGCACAGAGACCTGAAAACCTCCCAGACGCCACACAGATCTGTACTGAGTGCATAATGTGTGTCATTGTCAGACACACACTCACCCTGTAGCTGTGAAAAAGCTCAATTGCTCGCAGAACATCAAACTTGCGGGCCATCAGAAACTTCACGGCCACGTCCCAGGACAACGGCGAGACACCATGTTGGGACGTCCATTTGTTGATTTCCTCCAAAAACTGCTTTGTGGCCTGAGAAAGAAAGAGATAAATGTTAAGTCTGGCGTTACTATGGGACATACTGCTCAATAGTTTTTTCCCCACATGCAAAATCAACAGCTGCCACCAACTGAATGTGGGTACATTTTGTGCTGTGGCAAGTTCATAGTCTGCGACGCTGAGACCTGCACTAGTGTGTGTCTGTCAGGCGGCTTCGAGTAGGTTTACGTCCGGGATTTACAAAAGATTTGCAGCCAAAACACTGTGTTCTCAGTCATTTCCTGATAACTATAAACACTCACATACAAACAAGACCATAATAGAGCGAGGTAGGAGACGTGGAAAAAAACTGAATGATGTTTGGATCTGGAAAGCACAGAAGATCCAGATGGGGAACCAAGAGGCTACTTTGCTCATCTCATATCAAACACAGTGACGAAATCAAGCTAAACTGCATTAAAATTGACTCTCTATAGAAGAAAGCCGATGCAAATCACATGACAGCAACTTCAGGTTGTCTCAGAACTGATTTTCATATGTTTGCAATGCATTCTGGGAGACTATGCCTCCACTCGACTGCAGTATCTCACAGGAAACGCCTCACATGGCTCCAGTGTCTTCACTCCTATTGGTTAAACCTTTCTCAACTTTTTTGGACAAGCCATATGTTCATACATATGTCCGGCTTAATATAACAGGATATTTACCCAACATACTGGACCAATGCCATCAGCTATAGACGTCTGAAACTATTTTTCAGAAATCTGTGCAAATAAAGCTTCACCATTAATTTGACCTGAAAGCCAAAAATAATACAAAAAATAAGCTTGTCCTCTCTCCAGAGGTTCCAGTCCACCCACTTGCACAACACTGTATCCTTAAAAGGACAGATAAGCAGCATATCATGCCAGACAGGCCTGAATTCTGCAGAAATCACCCCGGTGAACTGTGCAGTTTCACAGGCCGCAGTTTAATCTCCTGAAAGTTTTTGTTCATGGCCCGTCAATGAACTCTGAACATCATGCATATAAAAAGGTCTTGATTTCTCCTGAACAGTGAAGCTGCCCACTCTTCTTAACAAAAATCCTGAATCCTGTGAGTTCTTTGGTTTCACAGCATGCACTACACATTCGAGGTCTTTCCCATAATGTCTCACTGACTTTGAGATTCAGTTCTGCACCTCAAGACTATTGAGGGACTTATTCAACCATCACAACTGGCTGCAAACAGACACTGATGATTGATGGGGGTGTGTAAACTTTTAAACAAGGTAATTTGTGTATTTTGTTTTGTGGAATACATGTGAATATAGATATAAAATAAATATATATTATATTGGTGATATCAATGTCTATTTTAAAATAAGACATTTTTATATCCAGTACTGCCCTGAAAAGACAAGAACAAAAATTATAAATTATTATTATTATATAAAACATATTTTATACTTTTTATGGGCAGCATTAGAAAAACATTTTAATAAAGATACCTAACAATAAATAATATATAAATCTATTTTATATATAGTATTGCCCTGAAAAGACAAAATATAGTATGTATGCATTAACTGTTTTTTTACTAAAAATCTTACAAAAAATCATTATAAAAAAAAAAAATAAAAAAAAAAGACTATATAAATATTTGAAATCTTACAAAAACTTTTTTTTGTAATATGGCCCATAAAAGTGATCTATGTTCTATATGATAGTCATCATCATCATCATATCTACATATATTTTTTATATTTTTATGGGCAGCATTAGATGAAAAAATTAAGATCCATTTAATAAAAAATATAAAAAATTAAATAATATAAAAACAAAATAAGACTTTTGATATCTAGCAAAGACAAAAAATATATTACTATTATCGTCTTTTCAGGGCAGTACTAGATATAACATTTTTAAAACAGATCTTACAAAAGTTTGTAGTTTTATTAATGCCCATAAAAGCATAATTACATATATACACCATATTTTTAATAATAATAGTAATATTACCTTTTATATTTAGTTTTTCCTGATTCTGTAAGGGTATCCTTAAAAAAAATTTACCATATACATATATAATAAAACCAAAAAACATAGTTATTATAGTAAAACAACGGTAACCACAAATTAACCATGGTTTTGCTACACTAGTAGTTTAACTATGGTATTTCTAGTAAAACTGTGCTTATACAAATGGCACTCAATCTCACAAAAAAACATGGCTACTTCACTTTTACTATAGTAAAACCATGGTTAATTTTTAAACCATCATCACTCCTCTCTACTTTGGCATCAGTCAGCTCTGAACAGGAAGAAAAACACGTCATGAACTGGACCCACGTCTCTTCTTTCTCTCTGCATGAGTTTCTCCAGTGGAAATGCTTTTAACAGCTCATGTCCCCCAGGACCTCGGAGTGACGGACACAGCCCGTCCGACATCTAATTACTCTCTCACATTTGTCCAGCAGGATCCAGCAGCCCCCATAAGGCCACGTCCCCGCGCTGCCTCCGAGACGAGACCCCGGAGTGTCATTCACTCACTCAGCCGGGATTCCTGTGCATTTGCACAGGCAGAGACCGCCGATAAGACACTGAGTGCTGACCGGCGGATGGATGGACGGACGACTGGGGGTTTATTTAAATGAGATTCCACAGCAGGATGGAGGAGACAGAGAGGCCTTGTTAAAGAAATCAACAGACACACACTTCCCCCGCTTATTAAAACAGGTTACTGAGGCTTTACGACTCATTCATGACATTTTAGTGCAAACAAAACTATTCAAAGATTTGCAAAGCATTTGCACGACTTTAAACTACACACATGCCTGCTGAAAGTGACCTATAAATAACAAGCAGACTTATATAATGACCATTTCCTGTTTTCGTCTGTGTATAGTACAAAACTGCTTTCCCACCAAACTGCTTCATAAACACACGTTTGAAACATGCATACATGCGTGAATGCGATTAAATCTGAAAGGCATTTTTGAGTGTTTCATGTTCAGATTCATGGAATATTTCATCGAAAAAAATAAATGCTGTCATTATTTACGCACTCTGATGTTAACCCAAACACATCTGGCTTTCCTTTAAGTAAAACAAAAGGTGAATTTTTGAAGAATATCTTGGTCAGTGTTTTCAATAAAATTCACGTATTTTAATATAATTTAAATAAAACAAAAATGACACCATACTACAAGTCTTCTGAAGTGATAGAGCTTTGTGTGAGGAACAGACTGAAATTATTAAGTAATTATTTGGGTCAGTCCTTTTTTTAACTTACTAAAATAAAAAATAGAGCTAAAAGTAAATGAAGAAAAATGTAAATAAAGTGTAATAAAAAGTAAAAAAAAATACAAATAATAAAAAAAAGTCAATTTGGACAATTGCATTTGGCAGACGCTTTTATCCAAAGAAGAGTACACTGCACTGAAGGCATAAATTTGTATCAGTTTATCATGTTAATTTTGCCTGGATTCGAACCCTTCATCCTGATGTTGCGAGCCCCATGATCTACCGTTTGAGCACAGAAAATGTTATTTTATTAAAAATATTAAAATGTTAAACTTATAATACTGTTTATAACATATAATATTAAGGTTTTATTTAAAAATTGCATACAGTTGAAAAAAAACTTTTTTTGTAAGCTGACAAGTATTAATTTTAAAGGTGTTACCTGATGTTTTTAATATTTTTATTACATATATTTGTCTGCATTTAATTAAATAAAAATCGTACCCATAATTTGACCCACTTGAAAAGTAAAAAAAAAAAAAAAGAACTCTGTTAAATAGGTACTTTGGTCTGAACTAAAGTTACCATGGTAAACCATTGTAAAGGTGTTCTAATCAACTGGACGGTGTCCCCAACAGAACTGCTGGAAAAGAGAATCGGTGTTAACCGGATTGTGACGGTTATTATTTCATACCTGCTCCTCCTCAGCGCTCAGACGGCCGGCCATCCTCTGCTCTCCCCGCTGGAGGATCTTATTAAAGCTCACACGGCTGTTTAGATCAGACTGTAGAAATCAGACTGGGCTTTTTAAGGCCCGTTAGCAGCGATCAGGCTAACCGCAGAAGCAGCGCGAGACTCGCGCCGTTTTCAGGCCGCCACTTCAGCACGGCACGCGACACAGCGGCGGGTTCATGATCCGGTCCGGGTTCGGTTGGATCCACATATATATATTTTTACACACATACACTAATGGTGTTCTAGCGGAGCTTCGTTCCGCCCGCCTGTGTGACGAAGGGAGAAATTCATCACGGTGCTCCGTCGAAACTCGTCGAAGGCCGGTTAGTTCGTTTGGAGGTACGCTATTATATTAAGCGATCGGCTCCGCGTCATCCGGGAGCTTTAAGAGGCTATAACGCGAGAAGGCGAACGAAGATCAGACGCTCCTGAAAAGCAGCAGCAGTGAAAGATGAAAGATGACGCTCCCTCTGCAGGCCACAATGGAGAACTGCAAAACTGAAAGACGCTCCTCCTCTCCATTCATAAAAACCTCGAGGAGTCCGAGTCATTGTAGCGAATCGGTTCGTTTGGACGGCTCCTTTAGTGAACTGGTTCAAAAACGGATTCTTTTTTTGTATTTTCCTTTTAAATAGTCGGATGGTTTTATTTTTTTGTTTATTTATTTAAGTATTTAGATGAGTTCCTGTGCGCCAACTAACGTGTTATTTTTTTTTGTGAGATACATATTTTAATACAGGTATTGGTGTGTTGTTGCATTTTTGTGATTCCAAGTGAGCCGAGTGATTTTCAAATCACTTTCAAATATTTAAGAATGATTCATTCGCGAATCAGACGTCATTCACACACACACGCACACACACACACGTACGTTTACCTAGCTATCTAAATGGGGACATTACATAGACTTCTATCGTTTTTATATACAGATAGTTAACCTAAAACACACCCCTACCCCTCACAGAAAACTGCATTTTTACAATTTCAAAAAGTTTTACAAATGAGGACGCCCCCCAAATGGAGGTTTTGGGGGATTTTGTCAGGTTTTGCTCACTTTTGGGTACAAATTTGTCCCCAAAATAGGGTTAAGTAGGTACACGCACACACACACACACACACACACACACATTTACTTAGTTATGTAAATGATGATATATTCTAATGTTTTGATAAGTAAATAAAAGTAAGTTTTCTAATTTAATACATAAAACCCCAATTCTATTTTGTACTTATGGAATGAGTTCAAAATAACATATATTTAGTATAAAATATTTAAGTACATTGTTTCTTACTATTTCTAGTAATATATATATATATTGGGGACCTACAAAATTTAAAACAGCTTATTTTTGTGTTTAATCTTGTTCCTAAACTACAGCTAAACTTAGTATAAAATATTTAAGTACATTGTTTCTTACTATTTCTAGTAATATATATATATATATATTGGGGACCTACAAAATTTAAAACAGCTTATTTTTGTGTTTAATCTTGTTCCTAAACTACAGCTAAATATAGATCACAGCAATATTTGATGTCAGTATTTTTATTTTTTTTACTGAAAGTTTCCATTCTGTACAGATATCATTGTGGGCGCAAGGGCATAAAAATCTCACCGTTTAAACCTGACGCAAGAAAATGTGCCAAGAAACTGAGCCGATAAAACAACAAAGAGCTTCCTGTGGGTGGGTTTCCATGGGCTAGAATGACTGACAGGAGAGCATGACGACATCATGCTGGAAAAATGCACACAAGTGCTTTCAAACTAAACTATACACACAAAAACATCTCAAAGTCGGGCAAAACAGGATTTGAGAAGCAGCAAATCATGACCACGTCTCAAAAATGAGCATTTTTGGCGCACTTTATGTTTTGAATATAGGCCTAGGCTGTTGACATACTTTATTGATTGACAGGTCTTTACTTAATGTCGGTCATGAGTGATCCGGGAAGACTGTTCTAGGCTGACAGGTGCTGCGAGTTCCTGGAAAGCAGCTACTGACTAATAACCAAACTCTCCGATTACGCTCTGGTTTTGTGCGGGAAGTGACCTAGTGGTTTCAAATCAACGAAAGCAGCCTCACTATAACCTCCTGCACATTTGTGTGAGGTGTTTGACATTCAACCAGAGGAGATTTTGATGATGCCAGCATTTCCTTGGCAAAGATAAAAACTGCTGTTGCAATGATGCCAATAGAAATAAGACATTTAGTAGTTAAAACCCTTATTATTCATTTTAGATGTTTGTATATATAAACAATGTTTTTACAATGTTTATATTAATTATTTTATATATTTTAAGCAATTATATTATTTTATAATGATTGTATATATATGATATAAACTGCCGTTCAGAAGTTGTTTGGAAAAATTGTTTGATGTTTTTGAAAAAAGTCTCTTATGCTCACCAAGGCTGTATTTATTTGATCAAAAATACAGTAAAAACAATAATATTGTGAAAAATTATTACCATTTTAAAGAACCATTTTCTATCTGAATATATTTTAAAATGTAATTTATTCCTGTGATCAAAGCTGAATTTTCAGCATCATTACTCCAGTCTTCAGTATCACATGATCCTTCAGAAATCATTCTGATATGCTGATTTGCTGCTCAAGAAACATTTCTTATTTTTATCAAAAGTCAAAAACAGTTGTGCTGCCTAATATTTTGTGGAAATCTTTTTTTACGATTCTTTGATTAATGGAAAGTTCAAAAAGACATTTATTTAAACATTTGTGGCAGTAATTTTTGACCAATTGAATGCATCCTTGCTAAATAAAAGTATACTTAAAAACAATAAAATCTAAAAAAAAATCTTTAATTTCTTAAAATAATAAAATGATGATAATAATAATAATAGTAATACAATTTACTGACCTCAAACTTTCATCAATGTGTATTTAAAAGCAAGAAAATTTCAGACATTCAAAAATATTTTAGACAAAGGGATGAAAAATACAGACAATAAAACTTTATTGAAGTCATAACACAAATAAAAAAAAAAAACACTACTCAGGCTTCTTCACCAGCTGAATCTTAATGATCTCATCTTCTACAGAAAAGATCGAATTAAAAATCTATATATAAAATCCAATGAAGATGCATGATTAAACAGAGTAGGTCAATCAGAAGAGCATGAGGTTTTACTATCATTTATACCTATACGTTTCCTAAAATAATATCTGCAAACAAAGCAGAATAGATTCATTTTTGTGATTATGATTACAGAAATAGGTCCATCCGAGTTACTTGGAACTGAATTGCGATTTTAAATATAGCAGTTAAAAACTCATTGACACCAGTGTTCTCCTGAAATGAGATCATCTTCACAGTCATGCACAGGCTTGAGAAAAGTGCTCTCTAAAAAAGGTACTCAGGCCTCCATGCTCTCTTTCTGAGCGCTGTGAGACTTCTCCAGCTGTGTCTCTGGCGTGGACAGATGTTCCAGTTCATATCGGCCGTTTTGGTCGGCCGGCCGAACTTCTGTAGAGGTTTTCTTGTGCTCCAGGATCTGCTGAAGCTGATGGCTGGCATAATCAGGCTTGCTGGTGAGGGGACACTGTGGCATCTCGATGCCCAAGATATCTGCCACCATATAGGGTCTGAGCCAGCCAACCAGCGGCGTGCTGCCAGGGGTGTAGTGGGTCTCCTTGTTGTAGAAAAGAAGCCCGTCCACCTAGAAGAGAGGAACACATTTTGAGTTCATCTATACCAGGGCTCAAGCCAGTAGTATGAGTGTTTCACTCGCATATGTGACCAAAAATAGATGTGTGTGCTGAAAATTGTATTAGGCACGTATGTGTGAATAAAAAAAAAAAAAGTCTAAAAAAATGTAGTTAATATCTTAAATGGCATAACAAATATCTTAATTATCATTTTAAGAGATCTTAAATTTAGTAATGAAAAATCAGGAATATATATACGGTATATATATATATAAAGTTTCTGCAGCTTAAAGTAGGCCTATATATAATAACAATTGTTAAATAGTTTGAAGCAGAAATATTTAAAAACATTTGACAATTCTGCTAGTAAAAGCCTCCTTGTATCCCTTTATAAGGGAAAAACACATTGTTTGATCAATTTTCATTCTTTTTTTTTTTTTATGTGTTCCTAAATTTGTCCACTTTTTGTGCTCCTTGAGAAAAACTAAGCATCAAGCCCTGAATACCACTAAAATATCATAAATAATCAGCTCAATCAATGTTATTTTATAGACTTAGCATGTCAAATAATGGAGGTTCTTACTGTAAAGTTGTACTCATGTGCAAGAGCCGTCTGGATGGACTCTGTCCAACAGCTAATGCTGTTCAGACTCACAAACCGGAACTGCAGAGACAGAACAGAGCATGAACCAAGTGCTTCAGCTCAAAGTGCAGCCTTGTTCACACTCACAGACGCAGTTATTTGCTCACTTACAGGATTAATCTTGGATATTTCAGAAAGACCTTCAACCTCTTCCACTTTAGACTGCAACCAGTAGAAACGGAACTCTGTCTGTAAAAATACATCAGTTTGTGTTTTGCATTGTAAGAAAAGGATTAAGTGCAAACAAACTAGAATTTTAATACAGACGCATTTATGAAAATTAATTCCACATGCAAAGTGGTTAGCCAGAACAGAGGTCATTTACATACACTATCATTCAAAAGTTATTTCTGTGATGCAAAGCTGAAATCATTCTAATATACTGATTTGCTGCTCAAGAAACATTTATTATTATTAATGCTGAAAAACAGTTGTGCTGCGCTTGTGCTTTTGGTGGAAACTGATATTTTTGTCAGGATTCTTTGATAAAAAGAAAGTTCAAAAGAACAACATTTATTTGAAATAGCAATCTTTTGCATGCAAAGTGGTTAGCCAGAACAGAGGTCATTTACATACACTATCATTCAAAAGTTATTTCTGTGATGCAAAGCTGAAATCATTCTAATATACTGATTTGCTGCTCAAGAAACATTTATTATTATTAATGCTGAAAAACAGTTGTGCTGCGCTTGTGCTTTTGGTGGAAACTGATATTTTTGTCAGGATTCTTTGATAAAAAAAGTTCAAAAGAACAACATTTATTTGAAATAGCAATCTTTTGTAACATTATAAATGCCTTTACTGTCACTTTTCACCAATTGAATGTCTCCTTGCTGAATAAAAGTATTCATTTTCTTCAAAAAAAAAAACTATTGATCCAAATTGAACAGCAGTCATGATACATCTAAAACTAAATTTACGATTGTTTTGGTGCAACAAACATAAGTATACTTCTGAGAAATTAAATTAATTATATAAAATGGTGCAAAAGTGTAGAATATGTCCCTAAAGTTTATATAGATGTCATTAGAGGAAATTATCACTCACTGAGCAGTCATACACAGGATGTCCCCTCCAGCACATGACATCCAGGATGTAGTATGTTCTGTCCACGTCACTGTAGATGCAGTCCAGGATGGTGTAATCTATATAAAACATATTTGTCACTTATTTTCCAGTATGGTT